TGAGACAAGTCTTTTATAGTAATACTAAAAGAAAAAGTATTAGAAACACGACAAAAGATGTAGAGTGAAATAAATTTTTAGGTTAATACTATGACTTATCGAGAAAACATATATTATCCTTTGTTTCGCTTGAAGGATTTTTCGCGCACTGTTAAATGAAGAAGCCCTTATTGACAATTCTTCACACGATGTTTGGAACACAAATCTCTTCATAATATAGTACCTGCTAAGAAGAATTGGAGATATGAAGAAAATATTGTTGTTGTTAATTTGTTGGTATTATATAATGGAGATGTCACATGGAAATGGTCATCGTCATCCTCGAAATTTCTTGCTTGATCATGCCCCACAGTTTGGGGTTAAATTTGGTGATGGGAAAAGTAACCGCGTTAAACATATTGCTGAATGGATAGGAACAGACCATAAAATGGATAACGGTCTGACACCTTATGCATTCATGGAATATGACGTCGAACATCATGATAATTGTTTAAATATAAATTTGGATGAAACAATTAAATCAGTTAAATGTGTTGATCAAACATCGCAAAGTTTAACTCTTCACTTTTCTAAACAGCAAGATTTGGAAAATTTTGAAAGATCCTTAGTTGTCCACTCAACAAAATTAGTTGGTCATTGTGATGATAAGCAAATGTTTTATCGTTTAGTTACAGATTATGACATTAATTTAACAGGAAAAAAAATTGAAATCTACACACGTCATTTATCTTTAGTACATTTGTTTAAAAATGCTAATGTTAAATTTCACTCGAATGCAGCTCACTTATTAGGCTCTTATTCGGAAAATGTCGAAATGGCACCATCATCACTATCGGCCACAACACCGGCAACGCTAGTGCGAAGGCAACGAAGTATCTTCTCCTCTATTGGAAATGCTTTTAAGTCACTTGTCAAAACGGTCGTAACTGTTGTGAAACAAGTTGTGACAAGTGTGGTTGATCTAGGATTAAAAGCACTTGGCCTCTACAACACAGACATACAGAAAACAGGCACCATTGGAAGTAAGTTGATATTAGAATGAATTCATTTAGTTATTTTCATGCTTAAACACGATTTATTTCGAGATACTTGACCGATAAATCGTGTTTCAACGAAACTGCGGAACTTTATCTCACTTATTCGCCTAATAACAGATCTTGTATTGTTGGATATGCTTAGCAAGTTTGATAATTTTCACACAGTAATAAATCATCTCATAGAACTCGACAAAATCTTGTTTTTTTACAGAGGGACTTAATTTCGGTGTAACTGACTTGAAGCTGTTTTCGGTAACCAGTAGTAAGTACAAGGTAGTAACTTCGTTAACAATGTATTGTGCAACGTGTAATCTTGCTTTCGTCCCTGGTTTCGTATTTGAAATGAAAATAACAAACGGTAATCTCGATAATGTAATAGTGGCTATTACGGGTAAACTGGGCATAAATCTGATTCTTAAAGCAGAAGCAAGTGGTTCATATTCTTATTCAAATAGTTACACACCCAAAGGTCTCTCAACAACGCTGGGAAGCTTCTCATTTGTAATTGTAATTATTCCAATTAATATACAACTTGATGCAGCATTATCAATAACGTTTGGTTTGGAGTTTAATATAGCTGCTTCTGTAACAACCGGTCTTAGTTATTCAAAATCAGCTAAACTTGGTCTCCAATACACAGGTGGTAAAATAGGTAGTTTACGATAAAACATAAAGAACGTCCGACTGGACGTGAGAGTTTTCTACTCTTTGGTTCCTGTTCAGACTTCTTTTATACCTTCTCGATCTACGGAGCAAATTGTTTTTCGTTTCTACCACAAGTGTTCCAAATTTCTCTAGAGACAAGAGGTAGTGGTAATTTAAGAATAAGCATACATTCTAAAAAACTTGCGGGAAAAAACGACCACGTTGTTAGAGATCCGCATCAAGCTGGACGTCTTTTATGGCTAATTAGCTACAGTCAGTTTGATCCTGCTACACAAGAATTTCACAAACCAAGTGTGTCAGTGGAGTTGACAAGTTCAATACAACTTGGTTTTGAAGTATCTTTTACGGTAACATTGGAATTTGTTCTAACTGGTACACTGGGATTAACTCCCTATTTAACGTATGATATTTCCGTTCAACAAAATTCACAAAACAAATCACAATATGATGCTACTGGAGTTTTATCAATTCATTTTGATATAACTGTGCAAGGAACATTAGGAATTATGATAAAAGGAGTTGCCATTGGTCCGAAGCTTACCTCACCCACATATACATTATATGCGTTCACACAGCAACTTCTCTCAAGTATAATCTGTAAGTATATAAGTTTTCACGAAAAGAGTGCCGAACGGTCATGTTTGAAGAGCCACAAGGTGAAATGCATCAACACCGTGTACGCAACACGACCGGCTCTATGTTCAATTATTCGAAATCATCCCAAAATTTGCCTTACCAGTAGAGATAGACTCTTCGAACGGTATCACTTGCATCTGTATAAAGAAACGAAAAAACTCTTTCGATAGTAGCAACAGTCCTGGATACTCTGTCTACGCATAGAAACATAACGATTTAAGTCAATAACGCCTGAGCAGATTCACACTACTTGAGCCATGTTACTTACTTAGTTCTCTCCACTCATTCTACCGTAAGAAAACCGTTTTCACAGGCGTGCAAAAGGGGGTGCAGATTATTCAAAGGTTTCGTCGGACGTCGAAATTTCTTTCTAGGGGAAAATAGTTAAGAAGTTTGATTTAATCTTGATTATGTCAGTAAGTTCAGCCGATAATATATAATAGATCTCACTGAATAAAAACCAAAAATGGTGATAGAAGAAGAGAGTAAAACCAACAACTTAATTCAGAAAATTTAAAAATGTGTTCGTGTCATTATTGAAGCTCATGTACATAAACATCTAAACGTTTATCCAGTATGCTTTTGTGTTAAATGATTATTCGTTCATAATTCTTCATTAAGTTGCTCAACAGATAGCTCTCATCAGAAAACTATCTCAATGCTGGCTACACCAAGGTCATGTGCTTAACGGTTTCAGACTATGCTTTTTTAAATACTGGACTCCGAAACCGTTTAAAAGCCGATGAACTAAGACCTCTAAAAACCATGGTTTGGGGAAACCTTTTTTCTACAAAAAGATTCTCTTAATGGCAGCTCTGAGTCTAGAATTGTTTTCCGTGAATGAGCCACAAGCATGAAGAATTTTTTGAATGAAAAGAAGGATAACATTAAGGTTTGTAAACAAATTTTATAAAATATAAGTGAATGACTCAAAACGAACGCACAATTAACTGATCTTTCTCTTTATTGAATAGTTTCACATTATATCGGCAGTGGTCCACCAAGTCCGCAAATAACATCAACATTAGTTCCCGTGAAAGGTTCCAGTGCAGATTCTGGCAGTATGTATTTTTCTGTAAAGTACACTCTCAGGAAACCCTTGGTACTGATGTTTGGTTTTAGGCTTTATTCTCTTTTCAATGCATGTTTTCGAAGCTTTCTCCGATTATAGTGTAAATCTGAATAGATGTCAGTTACCAAATTCTGAGTCTTTCTTCGAAAGGAAGTAGTCCTCAGTTCCCATAGTTCACTGCTATTAATGATCAACAAAAAAATATATTTCTTTTTCTCAACCAACATTCAGCTCATTCTTGAGTCAATTTTTATTAAACGAATCTCTGTCTAGCCTCGATACTTAAAGTCGAATTCGTTGGTCGCAGCTGGAACTCAAAATCTAGGTGATTGGAAATTGTTAGAAATTCAGATATGTACTAAGAAAGGAAGGTGTTAAGTGCCATTGCACGGTAGAAGTAGCCATTTCTCACATAAGTTGTTGAATCGATGTCGGAGTTTTTTATTCACACTTGTGCAATAGGTAGCAGCGACATACTTAAGAAAATTCACAAAAGTTTTCCATCGG